TCGCATCATCCAAGTGGATGCTGCACACTGGTGGTGGTGTGGAGAAACCCCCCCTCATGATTGTGAAGCGCTTTGGGTGTATGGCCATACACAATAAATGTGCTATATAAATACACATTACATTTTACATTATATATATATATATATATATATATATATATATATATATATATATATATACAAAACAAATGGGACAAAAATAAATAAATAAGTAAATGTATTTATATTTACTTATTTATTTATTTTTGTCTCATTTGTTTTGTTTTGGCTAGAATAAAAGCAGTGTTTAATTTTTTAATAACCATTTTAGGATTAAAATTATTAGCTGTATATATTTATTTCGATTGTCTACAGAACAAACTTTTTATGTTTAGAAATGGGTTAAATAATATTCTCTATGTTAAACAGAAATCGGAGAAAAAAATAAACAGAGAGCTAATAATTCAGGGGGGGCTTAAATTATACATGTATATATTCATTAATTTATTTTCTTTTCGGTTTAGTCCATTTAATAATCTGGGGTCGCCTCAGTGGAATGAACCACCAACTTATCCAGCATGTGTTTTACGCAGCCAATGCCTTTCAAGCTGCAACCCATCTCTGGGTACAGGTGAATTGGGTAGGTTAAATTGTCCATAGTTTATGAGTGTGTATGGATGTTTTCCTGAGATGGGTTGCAGCTGGAAGGCATCCACTGCCTAAAAACATGTGCCGGATAAGTTGGCCAGTGATTCCTCTGTGGCGACCCTGGATTAATAAAGGGACTAAACCAAAAAAATATCTCGTAAACACAATTCATTCAAATTAATGAAAAAATGTAACAGCTTTAAGTATTGTCCGAAAAGTGGCTAATAATGTATGCTTTTTAAAAGAGGCAGGTCACACTTTATTTTGATGGTCCGTTTGTTGAATTTAAGTTACATTGCATCTGCTTTGCAACTAATTCTCATTAGATTATAAGTAGACTGTTACTGTAGGTTGGGGTTAGGGTTAGTGTAAGGACATGTACTTGCAAAGTTTCTTAGTTAAATGTCTGTTTAGCATCATTATCAACAGATATTAAGCAGACATAACTGGACCATCTAAATAAAGTGTTACCAAGATGCAAAATGTACAAATGTAATCTTACAAATTAATACGAATTAGCCAATAAAATCAAAAGGTTGTGGTAAAATTGCGTTGGATTCATTCATCGCCATGACTTAAACGCACCATAAGATGTTTATGGGCACGTTCTGTTTATTGTCTTAAGCATAATGTAAACATGAAATATTTGCAAATGTCACTATTCTTTATTATTGAAAAAATAATCAGAATGTGTTCCAATTAAAAAAAAAATCAATAAAAATCCCCTTTGTTTTGAATAGAGTGCGTCTTTATCCATTTTCTGCAATACCAGATTCCCATTTATTGCTGAAGCCAGACTCATTGTCTAAAGATCACATCCTGTTTGTTTATTAAGGGGGAAAAAATCCCGGATTTGGGAGGGATTGCGAATCCACAAACAGGCCAATTAAAGGAAGCTATTAATTTAGTTGCATTTGTCAAAGGGCTCAGGCAACAATTAGTACTATTAAGGCAATCTTGTCACATGTCGCCATGCCACATGGAATAGCTTCTCACAAGCTGTTCCATGGATCCCTATCAAACCAAATAATTCATTTGGCCCTAGAAGCCCTCGCTATGCTAAAATCCCTCTCTTTCTCTTTGACAGAGAACAAGCCTGCGGGGGGAACCATGCTTTCTATGAGGGGACTGTCAATTCTTCTTAGAAGCTCTGTCATGCGCATGTGTGGTTTGCGTAGACGTGTACTAATGCATTTAAGATATTGGCGTATGATTGTCTAAGTAATGTGACACAAGCACTTACGGCTTAGCAAAACGGGGTGTTGTGTTTAGTTCGGCGTGTGTGCTTGATTTGATACATGCGCGTTGGAGGAGAATAAATCTCTCACTTTCTCGAAATTGGCACAAAGAGGTATTCATGCAAATGAACCAGATCCTGCTTTTGATATGTACACTCACCGGCCACTTTATAAGATACACATTGCTCGTTCTCTTACATTAAGAACTGCCTAATTCTTTGAGGTGAATTTTCAAGAAGGTTCTGGAAGCATCCATGATGAGTATCTCTAATTCTAGCGCAACACAAGATGCTCTGTTGGATTGAGATCTGGAGACTGTGGACATTTGCGTTTAGTGGGTTCAAGAAGCCAGTTTGAGCTTTGTGACATGACACATTATCCTGCTGGAGTTTGCCATCACTAGATGGGTACACTGTGGTCAGAAAAGGGATGGACAAGAGCCCTTTCACACATACTGTACAGACCTTTCTGGAAATTACAATTTTACAGAAAGGTCTGTATGTGTGAACAGGCCCTTTTTGAAAATACTGGTAAATTTGTTCCGGCAATTTTTCAGAAAGAGACGTAACATTACTGGTAATTTGCTGGAATGCTGCACTGTGAACGCAGAAGGAACATTGCTGGAAAGATCGTGTTCATGATTAGAAAGCACTGATGTGAGATGTCTACACATTCAGACACATTCACATCCGCATTGTTTATGAGAATGAGCCTTTGAATATTTCTCCAGACATATTTAGCTGCTAGATGTTAGTCAGATAACGTTTCTATGTTCCTTAATGCCAAACTGTGTAAAAAAAAAATATTGATAAAACGATAAACCTCTGTATGTTCACCTTCAAGCTCTGCTTCAGTTGCTTGACGCGTCAGCCGGTCAGCGCCAGCACACACACATATAATGTACATCTCGACGTGCGAAAGTGTTCCTCACATCGAAGTTGTTCACAATACTTATCCATCCTCAGAATTAGTAATGTAGTCAACTGTGTAAACATTTAAACAAGGCACTTCTGCCTTTGGATGTCTCTGGGACAAAGTAAGCTGCAGGAATGCTAAAGCTTTAAATAAAAGTGAAATTATCAACAAAAGACCACTTCTATGTTTATAATTACAAGCACAGCCGTTTAGATGTCATTTCTGGTTGATGATGTCAGAATTTACCAGTATTTTGGAATTGATGTGTGAACAGTCTTTTCCGGAAAAATCCAGGAATATTATTGCCTGTGTAAACCGCTTTTTTGAACTTATCGGATATTTACCGGTATCGCTGTGTTTACTGGTATCGCTGTGTGAAAGGGGCTATGGTCAACAATGATACTTAATTGGTATTAAGGGACCCAAAGTGTACTACAAAAATCTCTCCCACATCATTACAACTGCTGATACTAAGTAGGATGAATTCAAGCTTTGGGACAATTTATGCCAAACCCTAACCGCACTATCCAAACCTTAAAGAAGACAGAGACACATCAGACTACTGTCTTCATTGGGAAAGTCAGTGAATTGTCTCCTCAGTTTGCTGCTTTTATTTGACATGAGGATTGTCTTTGTCTGCTGCTGTTGCTCATCTGCTTCAAGGATTGACATGGTGATGCTTTAATCTATTTGAACATATGAAGAGTTCAGATGCAAAACGCTACACGTGTGATGAGATAATGACATTAAGCGAATGCTTTAGGCATGTAGTATATGGTCAACAAATATTTTTGCTTCAAATTATCTTCCAGCATCAGCACATTCAGAAATAACAGTTTGTTTGCAAAAGCCTCTAAAACGCCACTTACCTTTGGCAGCAAAAGCTAGTATGTCCTGAGAACCAATCAGAAGGCGCGACTAGAATCATATATTTCAATGTAACAGCACACTGATATGCTGTCTTTTATGATGTTTTATTTCGCTATCGATTTAGGTATATATATATATATATATATATATATATATATATATATATATATATATATATATATATATATATATATATATATATATACACATATACATATATATATATATAAATCCCAGTAGATCAGCTGTTTCTGAAATACTCACAGCAGCCTGTCTGCCAGCAACAGTCACACTACTAAATACTAAAATCATCTTTCATTCCATTCTGAGGCTTGGTTTGGATTATCTTGGTCTTATCAACATGGATAAATGCTCTAAGTTGTTGTGATTGACCAATTAGATATTTGCATTAACAAGCACTTGAACAGGTGTACAGGTGGTATACATGGTATAAATCATTTATGTATCATTCACTTTTTTCTGTTGAATACAAAGGAAGATGGTCTGAATGTTGAAAAAAATCGGACATCGACTTCTATAGTATTGAAATCCTACTATTCCTATGTATGTAAATGTAAGATTTTTCCAGCACTTTTCAGATTTATGTTCAACAGAATACATCCATAAGCTTAGAACCATGTGTAAACATCTTTACACACTTAAGTCCAACATTTTAATTTGACCATTGTTTTGTATTATTATTATTATTTTGTAGTACAGGGGCTCTGAATTGTCAGAACACATCTCAAACACTTTCTATGGATGCAAAAAACAGATCAAACTTAATGGCTGCATCCGAAATCGCTTACTACTCAATAGGTACTGCATTTGAATTTACTACTCGACCGTTTGAAAAGTACGTTCTATGCAGTATGAATGTGAGTAGTAAGACTGGAACTTAGAAATGCCACATCCGCCACGTGACCAACCCGCATCAGATGCATTGCTTCACACCCATTGATGAATTCTCTCGCGGTGCATTATAGAACAGCATAGTATGCATCACATGCGCACTTCAAACTCTCACTGGAAGTAGTAGGCCTTCTGGATACTTCTCGCATACTGTTTTTCGAATTCTACGAATTAGGACATACTAAGCTTGCATACTGTTTTTAGCGTACTATATAATATGGACGTATGTAATTTTGGACGAAGCTATTTTTATAGATGAACAATGAACTTTAATCATAGGTAAATATTCATTTTCACATTTTGAAGTGAACCATCACCTTAAAGAGTATAAATAGGCATGACCAGTTTATAGAATGTACATGCCATTTAAATCAATTTACAGCACATTATCATCATCTCAAATGCAAGTAAAACAAAAAAGGCAATAGCGAAGCAGTCTGTCATGAAAGGAAAACAGTTTATTCATGTCTGAAATTACACATAACTACCACAAGGAAGACTTTTCAGTCCAGGGTGTAGTCTGGTTAGAAAGAAACACGAAACATCTTTAATACATTAGAACCACTGCCACAAATAAATTTTGTATGACTTTTTTTTTTATCAGTTTCAGAATCACATACGATACAAAAAAGAGAAAGTAAGTCGGTAACCCTGTCACACAGGATTTGAAATGTACAATTCTGAATACTGAAACCTCTATGCATTACAGGTTTTCTTTCTTTTTTTTTTTTTAAATCATGGGTTTTTATTTATTATTTTTTTATTTCTTTTTTTGCATGAATTAGTAACAAGATGAGCAACATTCAAAATGTTTGTTTTTTCAGTATTTACAACAGTTTAACTGTTTGGTGTTAATTTTATGATCATATTTCCCCCCTTCCCTTCAAATCCAGCACAGAATTGCCCCTCCACCAGCCACTGTACTCTCCATACTCTCCGTGCTATTCGTATTATTAATATTATGATTCTTTTTTTCTTTTTTTTTTCTTTTAAAAGTTGCAACAAAGCAACTTAGTTTTCTTAGAAGGTTAAAATATACATTAGATTACATAAAGAGCGAGAGAGAGAGACAGAGAGAGCAAATTTCTTACAAGATGGATTTCAACCAAACTAACAAATGTAAAAAAAAATATTTTTAAAAAGAAGGAATGAAAGAAAAAGACGAAAAAATAAATGTGGTGGTGATTTTGTTGAGAGGTAGTCAGTGAGAGCACTAGAAGCTAAAGAAATGTTTTAAATCTATTGGTTTTCTATGAGTTTCAATGAGGTAATAAAGCGGAGTATTTACTTGTGTGGTGTAGAAATACTCTCAAGCTATGTCATATACAAGAACCTTTTTTGAATGGAAAACTGCCAGAAAAGCATCCAACAAAATGTCCCATTTTTCCTTTACAACTTCCTTCATTAATTGTAGTGGACTGAATATTAATTACATTTCGTTTTTGTTAAAAAAAGACATTAATTGCCAGGTATTTAAAAATCACCCCCCAAAATTGGAGTGGATTGCCATTCATAGGTGGTCTTATTTTAGTATGACATTAATAAAAGCTCAACAAAAAAAGCAATGGATTCCCCAAGCTGCCTTCCGTAGCATTTAGCCCTGTTAAATGCATCTTATGAATATATTCATATTTTCAATTGTATTACTGCACTAAAGCTTTGCCGACAGTCGGTTAAAACAATTATGACCAACAAACTCCAAAAAAAAAAAAAAAAACATACTGTAGCATACACTTTGAGCTTGTACACTTCAAATAATATATATATATATATAAAAAAACAGCTGAATATGTTGGAGGAGAGCTTGTGTTAGTAAAAACCGCAGTGGACTGATGTTTACGGCTAAGAATTGTCCAGCTTCCGAAACACTGTGGAAAAGTGGATGATTCCATGAGGATGACAGTTTATTCTGTGTCTCTGATTGGTCAGTCTGTGGGTTCGTAATCGTGTGATTGGTTCTCCACAGTTTGGGAAGGGGCGTGTCAGTTCGAGGTATCAGAGTGCACACTACCAGGGCCTTCTGTAGGGGAGATCACAGAGGATGGAGTCGTAGCGTCCTGCCATCCTCCATTACCCTGAAAACACACAAACACAAATATCCGATAAATTACATGGTCAGCAAAAAACAAATATGAGCTTTTTTTTCAGTCATTCAGTTTTCTTCGGCTTGGTCCCTTTATTTACCACAGTGGAATTAACCACCTACTTATCCAGCGTATGTTTTACGCAGCAGATGCTCTTCCAGCCGCAACCCAGTACTGAGAAACATCCATACACGCTCACACACATTCACAACGGCCAATTTAGTTTATTCAATCCATGTATACTGCATGTCTTTGGACTCTGGGGGAAATTGGAGCAAACGGAGAAAACCCACACGAACACGGGGAGAACATGCAAACTCCACACAGAAATGCCAACAGACCCAGCCAGGACTCAAACCAGTGACCTTCTTGCTATGAGGCAACAGTTCTAGCCACAGAGCCACCATATCATCCTAAAAGCGTTTTAATAAACAAATAAAGAATGTGTGATTTTATATGGATGTGTAAATATGTACTGTAATAGAATATTCATTAATTTTCCTTTAGCTTAGTCCCTGATTTATCTCTAATTAGTTCCTATACTTAGTATGTATCCCTACTTAGTCCCTATTAAGACATAATTCTTTGGTGGAATATTACAAATATATTGTATTCCATTTGTTCATGAATTAATTTCATTTTTAAGCTAATATGTATTTAATGTAACAAAATTGAAAGTAAAATAAAATGAAATTCTGTTTTATTAATTTATTTATTTATCTGCTTAAGTATATATGTCAGACATAAGGCAACCAATAAATCTTCTACAACTTATAATGTAAAAGCCTGTAAATAAATCAGCAATATATACTATGTAATACAACACATACATCAAATTTAATATAATATTTAACATAAGCCTAGCTAAAGTTTCATTGTGAAAATATATATATATATATATATATATATATATATTTTTTTTTTTTTTTTTTTGAAAACATTTAATTTTAGTAATGGAAAATTCTACTATATATATATATGGTGGAATGCATTTCTTTTTTCTTTTTTTTTTTAAAGTTAATGTTTATTTGATTTACCAAGAATAAGTTCAGTTGTGAAAATTTGTGTTCACATAAGACAACCAATACATCTCCTATTACTTGTAATGTAAAAACCTATAAAATGTAATGTATATGTGTGTGTGTGTGTGTGTGTGTGTGTGTGTGTGTGTGTGTGTGTATGTGTGTGTGTGTGTTTGTGTGTGTGTGTGTGTGTGAGTGTGTGTGTGTGTGTGTGTGTGTGTGTGTGTGTGTGTGTGTGTGTGTGTGTGTGTGTGTGTGTGTGTGTGTGTGTGTGTGTGTGTGTTTAATAGAATATAAAGATTACAATTTAATATAATATTCAGTATTAGTCTATTGTAGCTTAAGTTTCACAGTAAAAACATTTAATTCCAGTAGTGGTAACCCCATAGTTTGTGTCATACTAGCCTTCAGAAATCATTCTATGATACTAATTTGAAGCTCAAGTGCTATCAACTTTTATTGCTACTACAAAATGTTAATACAAATATAGAAATTAAATAAGAAACTGTAGTGTGGTTGTGTAACTTATTTATGTGTGTAATTATATATAATATAACTTAATAGATTTGATTGATTTTGATCAATATAATGCATTCCTTTGGTAAAAATGTTAGTAAAATTAGTATTTTTTTAATTTTTTTTTACACAAATATAAGAAATAAAATCAGACATCCAATAAATCTTCTTCATCTAGTAATGTAAAAGCCAATAAATAATCTCCCCCAATATTCATAAATGCACAGAAGCGTGAGCATCATGAAGTGTGCCTGTTTATTTGTCTGCTTGCAGTAAAGTGTGTGTCCTAATCCTGCTGTGTACGTGTGAAGCATGCATACATCTGCATACTAATGCATTAAGAAATTAATAAGAGCGAGTGTCTCCTCTGATCTACTGTCTGACACGCCGACGGCCATCTTGCCACGTTAAACCCACATCGGCTTTATTCTCTCTCTCCCGGCCCCTGTTCCGCTCGCTCTCTGAAAACAAATTCGCATAAACGTTGTGGCCAATGGGAGCGATTGCTGGAATCAATGTCTAATCAGATTTCAGCGGTGGGCCGACAGCTTGTCGCTCCATATTTTGATGTCAGTCAAGGGGAGGAGGCCGGTTGGGGAGGGGGAGTCTGGAGGATGTTGAGTGGAAGTGACGGTGCAGGCCGTTCCCGTTCCTCCACCCTGATCGCCTGAGCACAAACCATTCGCACTGCATGGAGACCAAGCTTTGCTGGAGATTTTCCCTCGAAAAACGAGGCTTAGATCTGAGGCTGAAGGCTATAGTCATTCTTTGTATCAATACAAGTAATGGTTAGAGGAGGCCAACTGACACTGTAGACCAAACCAAACCAAATATCTGAAGCAGAATCACGTTCTGACATGAAGAAATAAATGTTTGATTCTTATATATAATTAATTTTTATACATTGCTTCTTATATTTTGTATACATTTTTTATTATCCATTCTTTTATTCGTTCAACAAGTGAAAACAACTACAGAAAATTAATTGTTACAGAAATGTAACACAAAAAACATTTCTAAAAATAGAATAATATTGTGATGTAGTTACAAACATAATAATATTAATATTAATAATAATAATAATAATAATAATAATAATTATTATTATTATTATTATTATTATTATTAATCTGGCTTAAATTATAAATTGTTTGCTGATTTCAAGGATGTAAATATATAAATAAATAAATAATAGAATCACGAGTGTTGGGGCTTAATATGACTAATAAATACACAATTCTACATAATAATAATAATAATAATAATAATAATAACAACAACAACAACAGCAACAACAATAATAATAATATTAATAATAATAATAATAATAATAATAATAATAATAATAAACACTTAATTTTTAGGTGGATTATTATTATTTTTCATGTATCATTATTAATAATATTTTAAATGTTTATTGATATTTTTGTCTTAACTTGTGAAAAATGAGAGTTTGCTTGAATTCTGTCACAAAACAACTTAAGAACAACAGCCATATGATCATTTGCTAATGAGATGTTCGGTTATCAAAACAATCTGCCTGTGTTTCTATTAAAAAACACTCACACAGACAGAGTTGTGTGTGTGTGTGTGTGTGTGTGTGTGTGTGTGTGTGTGTGTGTGTGTGTGTGTGTGTGTGTGTGTGTGTGTGTGTGTGTGTGTGTGTGTGTGTTTGTGTGTGTGTGTGTGTGTGTGTGTGTGTGTGTGTGTGTGTGTGTGTGTGTGTGTGTGTGTGTGTGTGTGTGTGTGTGTGTGTGTGTGTGTGTGTGTGTGTGTGTTAGGGGACATGTTCAATGGCGGAATTAGGAATTTGCTGATTTGAGTTCCTGGAACAGGTCGATAAATAGATTGTGCTGCTCTCCTCCAGCCACAGAGTCTGAACCCATGCTGAAACGCGAGTATTATGAGGAAGTCTGCTGTACCCCGATGACATGGATCATTCGCACACGCGCGCACACACACAAATACACACAAACAAACACACACACACTTGTAGTGATAGAGTGAGTTCTGATTTGGGCAGTGGACCAGAGTGAGAGAGTGTGAAAATGTGGCGTTTGAGTCTGCAACAGACTGACACTTTCTTCATCTGCACAGCTACGGGCCACAGAGACCTCCAAACACACACACACACACGCACAGCATTAGCCACAGATACACTGCCACGTCTGGGTCTCGGCGCTGTGAAAAATCAGGCATACGTTTTGACTTATGACATTTATCGTTGTGTGCTTTGCTAGAGTTAATTCATGCAAATGGAGCTCTAACAGTCATCAGAAAGTACACATATGACAGCTATGCTCTATTAATTACCTCACAGCAAATTATTCCTCCATCTGATTGCATCTGTTTCTCAATAGAAAGCGATTTGTTTTGCGTTCGGAAAGCTCGTTTGTCTTTTCCGATAATGTACGAGGACCATTTGGACCGATAAATAAGCTGTTTTGGATAAGGAATATGTAATAATCTATGCAGATTTTACTGCCTCGTTTGATAAAATAACAAATCCGGAAAATGCTCAAAATTTTCAAATGTTCCTATTTCATCAGCTCGGCAGCACAACAAGTTTTGTCAGGCTATGCTTGTACATTTTCATTTTAAAGAGTGTTTTCAGATGAAAACAATCTTTATTTATATTGCCGTTTCTGCTACGCTTCTGAAATGATGAGGTAAGCAGTTAAAAATAGCTACACATTTGTAGCACAAAATTGTCACACTTTATTTTGATGGTCCGTTTGTTAAATTAAGTTACATTGCATCTACATGCCAACTAATTCATAAGATTATAAGTAGACTGTTAGGTTGTGGTTGGGGTTAGGGTAAGTTCAGTTGACATGTACTTTCTAAGTTTCTTATTGTCAGTTAAATATCAGTTGAAGGAGCATATCAACAGATATTAAACAGACAGCCTACTAATACTCAAATGGAGCATCAAAATAAAGTGTTGCTTGCGTTTTCCGTCGACGTTTAACGCCTCATGACTAAATAAATGGCATCAAATGGTTCATTTTACATTTTTACAGAAACGCCTCATGCTCTTTTTTTTTTTTTCTTTGCAGCACCACATCAAAACCTTCTCCACCAATCAGATTGGCACTTTTGTTCATGTGCACGGAGCTGCTGAAGTTACAGTAAACAGCACTTGGAGACGCTCAAACTTTTAATGCGAGAAAATGCCAAAAGGCAATATGAACGTGAAGCTGCTTATTGCTCTGGGTGAACAATAATTAATTCTTCATCGCTAGAGCTGGAGCAGCTACTTGAACTATCCATAACAACAAGCGTGGCAACCTTCTTCTTCTTCTGTGTTACAAGTGGGTGTCAGAAGCTTAAAGTTGTGTAGCACCATCTAACGTCAAAGAGTGATTTTGCATACTCTTTTGTTCGACGCCAGTAAAAATCGCTTGGGTTTGAATCCAGAAAAACGTCTTAAAAAATGATGACGATAAACGCAAACGAAAAGCGTGCTGGTGTATACGAGCCTTACCCACAAAACTGTCGGCTATACAATTATTAAATAAAATATCATTATTTGGCAGCGAGAATGATCAATGCAATAACAACTGACAATTCAGTAACTTTTTCTATGTATGTGTTTTTTTAATCATATCTACGATATTAACTTAGCATATTATATTATGATACTCTATATTGTGTGCAAGTGAAAGGCTCAGGCACGATAGACAAAGTGGAAATGAGTGAAAATTTCCACCATTTCTTGGACAGATAAGAATGAGGAAATTTAGTGAGTTTACTATTCATTTAAAAAGTGTGAGTAAATGTAGTAAGTTTAATTTTAATATAAAGTTCTCTACTGTTTGTGCATGGTTTGGTCACAATAAAACATTGTGGCATTTTAATATACAAAAAATATACAGGATGTGCTTACGGCCATCTCGCTTTCTTTGAACTTAAGCTTGTCATCAAAATGGGTCACAGTTTGACAATAAGGTTGTATTAGCTAATGTATTTACTAGCATCACCAAACAATAAACACTACATTTACTACTGTATTTATTCATTTTTGTTAATAGAAATAAAGTTGTTCCTTGTTTGTTACTAATTAACTGTACCAAGTATGAATTTGGATTTTAATAATGCATTAGAAAATGTTGTACTTTGATTAATAAATGCTGCACAAGCATTGCTTGTTATTAGTTTATGGTAATAGCTACAATAGCTAACATTAACTAATGAAACCTTAATGTAAAATGTGACCTAAGATGTAACAGAATTCAGAGTATGGTCATGTGACAAGACTTGACGAATTAAAGCAGCAAACACAATGACTGACATGAGCCAATCAGAGAGTAAACACTTTCAAAAGTCTGTAGCTGCATCCAAAATCGCATACTTCCATACTATATAGTACACTAAAAACAGAATGCGAGCTGAGAAGTATCTTAACCTTAGAACTATAGGGTTCTATCTGACATTATTGTTAAAATTGAGTTATTAGCATATTCTTATTAAATGATAACTTATATTATGGGATGTTTTTAGACATGTTATTTAAAAAAAAAACAAATGTTTCACACACACTGTTTGCTGTATAGAATGAAAAAACTTTGAAGCTCAAAATCATTCAGAGAACAGATAGAACCTTATAATTTCAAGGTGATGCTATGTCTGAATTTATAGAATTCGAAAAATAGTATCCGATAAGTATTCAGATGACCTACTACTTTCCGGCGAGATTCTAAAATGCACAATCTGATGCAATCTGATGGACGCTATGATATCCCATGATGCACTGTGAGAGAATTCATGAATGGGGAAAAGCTACGCAACTTACATATGTAGGTCATGTGATCAAGAACAAAATGGAGGATGTAGTATATCTGAGTTCCATTCATACTACTTACATTCACACTGTATAGAATGTACTTTTCTAACAGTCGAGTAGTAAGTTCAACTTCAAATGCAGTACCTACTGAGTAGGAGGCGATTTCAAAAGCAGTATGGTTTTGTTTCATCTAAACTGAAACGCAAACCTCGATTTTACAAAACAAAAGTCTGCAGAGTTTGCAAAAATCTTTTTTTGTGTACAGATAGCCTCAGTCAGTTGTAGTTTTGTTTAAAGCTATTGCACCTAACTTTATACTTTTATGAACAGCGTCCCGACAAGCAAGGTAATAGATACATCTAAACCTGTGTTTAGTTCAAGGAAGATTTACGTCTGCATTTCTCAAACACTTGTTCTCTCTCTCATCAAATAAATGAGTCTTTACTCTGATGGGTTCAAGATTATGCAGTGTATAGTGGGGGAAAAAAAAAAACATCATATCAAACCTCATCAAGGAAGATAAAATTCATGCCTGCAGACGGCTGCAGGCAATCATACTTTCATATTTCATCATGTAGATAAGGATATTGCAAATTCTTTGAAGCATTGCAAAACAGGCAAACAGAGGCAAGGCGTGCTGGTAAAAGCCTTTTCATCTTACCACGTTATAGGTTACTGTAATAGGAACTGTTTACACAGGCAACAAACTGACTTAATATGTTTCCGAATCTCATTTTCCTCACACCACTCCCTAATACTTGAGCCGCAGGAGCTTTTACTGAGCAAAGCATTTATTTCTGCTTAAAAAAAAAAAACTGCCATATTTTCCGCTTTATGCATATTATGGGATAGACACTCCTGTCATCCTCTGAATCTTCACTCTGTTTGTCGTGGAGTTTGGATTTATGGTGGCTTCTTGCTGTCTCTCTCAGATACTTATGATTTATATAATAATAACTAAATGTACTGCACATTATGGAGTTTTACCAAAAATAAATAAATAAATAAAACAATTTGAAGTAAATACCAGCCTACTGTAGACATGATGTGTCCCAATCTGTGGCATTATTAAATGAACTGTACTAACTGTACTAAATGACTAAATAAAGTAAAATCAAAATACTTTTTTTCAACGAGGATGCATTAAAAAGACTTTCTAATTGGATTCAGTTTATTTATTATATTTTGTTGACATTTTTGTGGCAATATACACTCACCGGCCACTTTTTTAGGTACACCTGTACAACTGCTTGTTAATGCAAATTTCTAATCAGCCAATCAGATGGCAGCAACTCAATGCACATAGAGACATGGTCAAGATGACCTGCTGCAGTTCAAACCAAGCATCAGAATGGGGAAGAAAGGTGATTTAAGTGACTTTGGCATGGTTGTTGGTGCCAGACAGGCTGGTCTGAGTGTTTCAGAGTTTTTCGGGCACAACAATCTCAAGGGTTTCCAGAGAATGGCCTAAAAAAAAGGTAAATATCCAGTGTGTGGCAGTTCTGTGGGCACAAATGCCTTGTTGATGCCAGAGGCCAGAAGAAAATGGCCAACAGTAACTCAAATAACCACTCGCTACAACAGGGGTGTGCAGAAGAGCATCTCTGAATGTACAACAACCTTGAGGCGGATGGGCTACAGCAGCAGATGACCACACAGGGTGCCACTTCTGTCAGCTCAGAATAGGAAACTGAGTCTACAATTCGCACAGGCTCACTAAAATTGGACAATAGAAGATTGGAAAAACAATTTCTGCTGTGACTTTCGAATTTTAATTGTCAGAATGACATGAAAGCATGGATCCATCCTGCCTTGTATCAATGGTTCAGGCTGCTGCTGGTGGTGTAATGGTGTGGGCGCATTTCTTGGCAAACTTTGGGCCCATTAGTAAAAATAGAGCATAGCCTCAATGCCACAGCCTACCTGGGTATTGTTGCAGACCATGTCCATCTCTTTATGACCACAGTGTACCCATCTTCTGATGCCTACTTCCAGCAGGATAATGTGCCATATAATAAAGCGTGAATTATTTCAGACTGATTTCTTGATCATGTCAATGAGTTCACTATAGTCAAGTGGCCTCCACAGTCATCAGATCTCAATCCAATAAAGAACTTTTGGGATGTGGTGGAATGGGAGATTTGCATCTTAGATGTGCAGCTAACAAACCTGCTTCAACTGTGTGATGCTATTATGTCAATATTGACCAAAATCTCTAAGGAATATTTCCAGCACCTTGTTGAATCTATGCTATGGAGCATTAATGCAAAAGTGAGTCTAACCCGGTACTATTAAGGTGTACCTAATAAAGTGACTTGTGAGTGTAAATGCTGTACTTTTGAGCTTTCTAAAATAAAAACAACTATCATCATTTCACAATCAATCAATCAATCAATCACTCAATCAAAACATGTTTTTCAACCACTCAATCATAACAGTAGAAAGATTTCTGAATGGTCAGTTGACATTGAAGACTTAATTAATGGCTGCTAAAAATTCTCCTTTTCTATTACAGGAATATTTTTAACTGTATTTAAATGTAAGAGGTACACTTTTCAAAACACTAAAAAAGTTAATAGTGTAGTAAGTGTATTATTATTATTAATGCCTCTTCAAGGCTGACTGAGACTATACTTACATTCAAGCCATGTGGACTATACATGGGATTCCCCCCCAGGACATCATTGTATCCTGCCGTCTGACTGATAACATGGCGCAGGGTATCCACCTGCAGAGGACACAACAGAAATTCAAGCTTGTCAACATTCTGCATTTCAGAAACACGTGCAAACATCAACACAGAAATGTGTGGTTAAACGGACAAAGGCACTGATGTTTAAAGAAAAAAAGAACAACAACAACGAAAAAAGATGGCTCTGAGGTTTACTAAATGAATCATACTAAATGGAATATCCAGCCGGATGAAGTTAGGAATACATATGTGGTTTAATGCAACATTTAGACAGCATATGTGTTTCCCCTCTCTAAAGGTTTCTGGTGTTCAACACAGAGTTCAAAAAAACAAAAAATACATAAAGAAAGAATGGCATAATTATGATAGGGAAATTTCAACAAAGCACAAAAATATTCACACATGACAACAGTTGGAGGAGAATATAGATTGAGACAACTAGTGCTGGGTAAGTTACTTCAAAAAAAGTAAGTCGTTATTGCTAATTACATTATTAAAACTGTATTTAAATGTGTTTTCTAATTAAAAGTAACTTAGTTACTCAAATGTAATTTGATTACTTGACTCACGACTAACATTCCACATGAATTACATTGCATAGACAATAGAAATTAAACTCTTAATTGTTTAAATTTGAGTCAAAGAGGACATTTTCGATTTGTTTTAAAGACACTTTCATTTTAAATATATGTATCAAAACATGAACCGTTTGTATTTATCGACATTTATTTTCTAAAGCAATTCATTGTTTCTTATGCGTGTACAATTGTCAGATAATTCCATACTTCTTTAGTTAAAATGTATCATTATATAGAAATCCAGTCAAAATGATTAGCCCCCCTAAATTACTAACCCTCTGTTTATTTGTTCTCCAATTTCTGCTTAACGGAGAGAAGATTTTTTCAACACATTCCAAAACATAAAGTTTGTTCTGTAGACTATCGTAAAAAACGCTTTAAGGGGCTAATAATTTTGACCCTAAAAGGTTTAAAAAAAATATTAAAAACTGATTTTATTCTAGCCAAATTAAAACAAATAAGATTTTTCCAGAAGAAAAAAAATATTATCAGACATACTGTGAATATTTCCATGCTATGGTAAATATAATTTAGGAAATATTTACATTTACATTTAGTCATTTAGCAGACACTTTTATCCAAAGCGACTTACAAATGAGGACAAGGAAGCAATTTACACAACTAAAAGATCAACAATGAATAAGTGCTGTTGGTAAGTTTCAGGTATGTAAAGTGTAAGAAGCAAAACATTAGTAATTTTTTTTTTTGTAATAAATAAAAAGTTCACACACACACACACACACACACACACACACACACACACACACACACACACACACACACACACACACACACACACACACACACACACACACACACACACACACGCAAACACACACACAATTATTGTGGATCTCTTAATTTTTTTATCATATATTGTCAAGAACTAACTTCTCAATACATTTTTGCAAATTAAACAGACTTAATGTTCTTTAGTTGGACAATAGAATTATATATATATATATATTTATAACAAAAAAATTACAATAATTTGCTGAATGTAAATAAAGTATCTATGCAAGTATGAGTAAACTACTGATTAACTGACCTAAACATTAATAGTAATCCCTTGATTTGCTTTCTCATGTTAAACGTAGTTTAATTGCAGTAACTATTTACTTTGTAAGTAATTACACCTAACACTGGTGACAATACATTAAAGAAGCATGAGCAGATAATAGGAATCTAGGAAATGTTTAGATCATTTTCTTTCTCTCCTTCAAATGGTGTCTTCAGCACAAGGATGAAATGAGCATATGCAGATATGGAGAACTGGAAACATCACAATGAGAAAAGGATATAGAGGTTTGGAGGAAAGAACAGTACCATACAACCAATACCAACCCAAGAGCTCAAGTCAGAGCCAAAATGCATTCACAACATCAACTACAAAATGGGGTCTGCTCCAGGATCAATATTCTAGCATACTGCTGTAAATAATGAGTGTCTACTTAGATGGGCCTCTTATAGGCTGCGATATGGTAATTTGGTTGGGGGTTCCAGACTGGAAATGTGAAGGATCCATCCATATCCACACTACTTATTAATCTTACATGACTATAATGAGACTAATTGTTGAAGGGGTGATAAAATCTGTATCATTGTCTATATGTTAAGGGGGAGGGGGGGTTGAGGTTTAAATGTGGATGGTAGGCTAGCTGACAGGTCTGCTCTGGTTCACAGCCCCAGTTCCTGTGCGTAGCGCCTACCTGTGACTGCACATTGGCTCCGACTTGTGCCCCTTGGTAAGAATCCCCATTCAGATTCTGCATGCTCATGAACAAGTCCCCCGAGTTTGGGAGGTTAAAAGAACCTGACGAACCTAGAAAGGAAAGATGTAAGGAGCTGAATAACGAGAGGATGAGAAAGAGAAAGAGAGGCTATCACAGGCTCACACATACACACAGTGTACGAGGACATACGCACAACACACGCCACACTAGGAAGTGATGCCAGGAAAGCAAGCAACAAAAGGACAGCAAAAGAAACAAGGAAGAAATGAAAGGACAAGGATGGGGATGACGGTCTAGTTGCATTAAAACTCTAAAGGAGCACGTCGGGGTCACCAAAAAAGCCAAATCAAATGGGGGAAATCACAACAAGGCACAGAGATGGTGTATGGAGTTGGAAGTCTAGGTTTTCCACAATGGTTCACACCTAATACTACTCTAGTGGACGAGTTCATAAAGGGGATTATATGCCAATGACAAGGACAATAAGAAGCTTATGGAAAAGGCCAGTACCAGTGAACATGTTGGTTAATAGAGTGTTTTTGTTCTCTGCAGAATCCAGCTGAAATTCTTCATCTTTCATCTGGAATCCTGGGTGCAAGAAAAAGGGGACCCCTTAAAAAATTGCTTACCCACAACTCCTCAGGGTTTAAGCCATGTCCATATTACAGTCAAATCTTCTGCTTATTATGTTTAAAGAGCATACATTTAAGCTACACACTGCATCATTCTACTAATAAAATATTCATCATCATTCCAAACTATACATTTCTTTAAGAGCGTAACATGCTCCGAGCAAGAGATTTCCATCAATTCACAGCGGGGGTAACACTGTCACATATTTATGGATAGGAAGGGAGGACAGTGGGTGAAGATTATCTCTTCTACCCCCACCAGCACCACCACCCTCCCACCCCTCAATTCTGCAAACATATTCAGCATGTGCACACAGTTTCTGCTTGACTTTGCTCGTCTCGTTCAGCATGTATAGTCTCATAGGCAGGAGAGTGAGGCTCATCCCCCAGGCTGGGACCTCTCACTGTCACAGCAACCAACCAGCGTGCCAAAGGGAGCAGAGGTTCAGAAGGGACCAAACTGGGATTTTGGATGGCTGGTTGGTTTTTAGGGGGCTCGTCCGGGAATGGTGCAAGCTTACCGGAGTTGGGTGTGGTGGGTGAGTTGGTCTGACTATTCTGGACGGCGGCAGCTGCTGCATGTGCTGCAGTCACGGCTGTCTTAGCGGCATACAGGTTGGCCTCCTCTTGGAACTTGCCGATGTTTTTTTTGTAGCGGATCCTCTTGTTGCCGAACCAGTTGGATACCTGGGGGAGAGATGGAAAGAAAAAGAAAGGGGGAAAAAAAAGAGGAGGGGGCGTCAGACGTCAATGCAGACGAGGCACTGTGCACTGAGCAGAGTGATTGTTTCAAGATGTCATGTTTGGGTCCATCAAGTCCACAGTCCCCAGCCTCCCACAGTAATATCCGCTGGGCATGCAGACTAATTAAGCGATTATCAGACAGGGCTTGTGCGTTATTGCGGATGGAGGCGTGACATGCTCTCTGTTTGTCTCTAGACAAAACCAACACACAAGGGGCTGCTTGTCTAGTGGCAAAATTAGGATCAGTGTTGTGCTTAGGGGATCAGGTAGCTAATGCCAAATGTGAAGGTGGCATATTTCCTTGTATGGCTAGCTGAGATCCTCTTAAACAAGGTGTTTGTCGTTCTCCGCAGCCCTGTTTACTATATAAAGGCATTCTCGATAAGTTTTAGCCTAACACTTTATTTAGATTTTACTTCCACTACTTTTCTTTAAAGGCAACTCGGATGCATTTGGTTGCCTTGATTTCAAAGGCAAGGCTTTTATGCATCTTAATAACACTTATGTTCTTTTCTTTTGCATGAAACCACTTTTGTGTGCCCGCCTTAAGAAAAATAACAGACATGATAATAACACAGCACACCTAAAAGCAGGCGCACCGCCTCAACCCAATACATTAATAATTACAATAATGCTAATTTTACTAAAAACAGCAGCCAGAAAACAATAAGATCTGGGTCACATGGGGGGTGGTAGATGTGCAAATGCTAGCACTGCATAATTGTGGAATAATAAAGAGATTAAGGGTTGTTTCTTAATAGCCCTATAAATTACGGTGGCCTGTCGCCGTGGCAATCTCTCCTGCTGTATTCCGGCTCTGGCTGGACTGGAGGACCAGAGAGCCTCAGCCCCTTAATGATGCTTTATTTAATTTCCACCTCTCTGCTTCCATTTTAATATCTCCAGCAGCCCGAGCCACACTACGCTACAGCCGCTGAATTTACATGACATCAGATCATTTCTACCCCCACCATGCCTCTGCGCTTCTAAATCTTTAATATCTAGGCAATTAAAATTAATGACCATTCGGCTGAAGCCACCACCGTTGGCAGGCTTTTGCCTTAACATCAATTGTTTGATGGGTTTACCTAGAGGTTAAACTAACAAGCAAGGTTTAATTGGAAGCAATGAAAGCACTAGCCGTCATCCTTTTTACTTAACCTGCTTATGAAGCAGTTTAAGGCCATGGAAAAAGGCACACAGTCTCTAAGCTATGCTGCCTCAGAAGATAAAATAACTTATACTTTTCTTTTCCTAAACCTAACATTTCCCATTTTAATGAAATAAAGATGTTTACAATATACAGCTTATTCAAATTATTACTTCCATCATTTGCTATGTGTTTCTATTTCATTTACAATAAATTCTATAGTTATGCAAATAAAATAAGGATGTCTGAAATGTAAAAATATGAAAGCTCAAAATAAAAAATGTTTAGCTAAGTATTGATTCCGTGTTTACAATCATTTAATTCATTTTAAACTAATTATAGTTCTTATGATAAATGCCTGAAAATTGTATTTTTATAAATGAATATGTTTTCTTACACACTAATTAATAGTTATTTTGGCGATTGTTAGGTTTAGGTACTGGGTATGTTTAGGGATGTAGAATAAGATTATTCAGAGTTTGTACTATATGAGAAGTAACATATAGCCAATATCGTAATAATAGTCAGATATTGAGACACTACTCTTATAAGACATTAATATTATGCTTGATTTAGGTCACCAGCGTCTAAGGACAATGTTATTTTGACATCCAATAACGACATGAAATGACGTTGTATTGGAAAATGGCCAAAATCTAATGTCGAGCCAACATCTTAAACTAACGTCATGTTGAAGTCATATTCTGAGATTTGTTTGTCAGGTCTGGCAACCAAAATCTAAAGTCTGATACAATAGATGTCATATTGGTAACATCCACATAATGTCAAGCTGTAACATCAATACACATAGATATTTAAAAGTGAAAAGTGACCAAAATGCAATGTTTGTCCGATGTTGGACATTGATGTCTGATTGACGTTGGGTTCGGATGTCAACTCAAATATTAATTTCCAAACAAAATGCAGTGTTCCATGATGTTGGAGTACAATGTTAATCTGACATCATGTTGATGTCCTGTGCCTGCTGGGTAGTTATTAGTAAGAAACGGTACTTAAACTGAAGTGTAACCACTTTAGTTTAAACTGACCTTCAGTTGTTTTGTTCTATAAGACTAATTTCTGTAAGACAACTCTTGTAAAGACCATTTTGAGGTATGTTAACAAAAACAATGGTCCCAACGTATTTCCTTTTTTACATTTTCCAGTTCTAAACCTTCCGAGAATCCAAAAAGAGCCACATATTGATAAATAAAGTCATAATGGCAGATTTTAACATTGAGTTATAATTGAATTGCCTCTTGGTACAGTTATGAAATAGTTTGATAACACACAGGAGATGCTCATGGGCCAATAACATCACTACATTGAAATGATCTATTTACAAGACAACAGTATATCTAAATCCTAGGTGGTTATACAACACAGACTTTCAGTTTACATGTTGACATACTTTTTTTGTATTCATAATCATGCCAGAAGACACTAGACTGAAGATGCGGTGGACTTCTATGCTTGGAACCCAATACCTGGTTTGTTTGCTTTAAACCAATGGAGAGGAAAGCCTGTGTGGGTGTAGTAAATAATTCACCACTACTCCCTCCCCAAGCTTGGGTCAATAAGCTGCTAGTGTCACTGAAATGGGATGGATGATCTTACCCAGGTCTCAATACCTCCCGATTTATACTGCTTCTCTTGCTGAGAGTGGAGCTTAAATGGAGACTCAGACTTCTGGCTTCATCTCTCTCTCTCTCTCTCTCTCTCTCTCTCTCTTTCTCTCTCTCTCTCTCTCTCTCACACACACACACACACACACACACACACACACACACAGTCCTAGGCGGTTGCAGTGGACAGGGCTGCTGATATTATCAATAATGAAGTGGTCTGCATTAATAGTTAACACATTAACCTGAGGCAGAGCTCTGCTACATGTATAATGAGCTGAAATATTGATAAGTGTCGCTCGTTTGAACCGCAGGAAGATCGAAGCAGAAGAACCGCATTTAATTGGGTGATGGGCACTACACTTTGTGCCCACTCATTTGCAGGGTGCGTGATATACCCTCTAGATTTGATGCCTAAAATCATAACAGTTATGAAAACTATTTTTAAAAATCCTTGTGTGACCCTGTATGCCACAGCGATCGTTTAGAAGATGAAGAGATTTTGCCCAGATAATGAGCTTGATTCTGTGTGCTGAATGAAGGGGTGCCTAAATTTCATTAACAATACTATTAACACCACATATCACTTCTAATCAGTTGCACACCTCTGGGATCTACATGTGCTAGTATTTGTTTCAATGAGAGTTATTAATTACATTGCTATACATTGTTTGTTTTTAAATACAGGGCAAATTTGGGTAACACTTCATTTTAATGTACAATTCACACTAATAACAAACCATTAACTAAGACTTGTACTTCGATAAACGTTAGTTTAGTAATAGAAAGTAAGGAAGCAGTTGGTGTAGTAGGTTTTGGGAAGGATTAGGGATGTAAAATAAGATCATACTATATAAGTGCTAATAAAAAACTAATACCTTAATAATAAGCTAGTAGTAAATGGTGTGAATTGTTACTTAAACTAAAGTGGTACCCACATTTGTCATGTTTTAAATTTCTGATAGTAAAACGCAAAAAAAAAAGGCATTAAAAATAACACCATTGTTAGTATACTAACCAGTTTTGTAATATTATTGAGAACAGATTGTCCAGCATATAAATCAATATTAAATAAAACAAATAAAAACGGTACCTTAACATATGCAGTGATTAAATACAATGTGAGGTAAATATCTACCACAGGCATGTCAAAATGTATAATGACAAGACATGACACAGGACATTAAGCGGTTTGACGAGTGAAATTCTGTAGGGAAAAGTGGAGGGGGTGTATATACATATTGTATGTATGTTACATACATATCATCTGATACTAATTACTGAGCACTCCAAATAAAGTTCCACGCAACACTTGCTTGGTGTGCAGATCTGTTGTCGCTAAGTGCAGGGAAGGTAGACTTTTGGGTAACAGTGTGCTGAGTATGTCTTAACATATTCTAAGGTATAAGTGAACACACATGAAGGGGTGACAGAATAAAGGAAAAGCAACAATAAAGAAAAAAATGGCACAAAAAAAGTGGAGCAGAAGTCATGACATACCTGTGCCACTGTGATGGTGGTTCCCACCCCCTGAAGGCAAAAAAGAATGGCTTTTACAGGATCTGACTCTGAACAACCCTCCATAAGCCCCTCCCCACAGAGTAAAAAACATTGATATCATCACAGAGTATGCAAATATGATCTGAGACCAATGACTTAAACAGTATACATTTTCCTTGACCACCTCTGTGAAAGTTTGAAAAACACAAAAGTTTTGTCTGTGGGGAGATGGGTGTGGGTGGGTACTCTTGCCTTCAGGTGGATTCTGAATTTAGATATTTGAGTGGGAAAACACTGCAATGCTCTTATAATAATTGATTGTATTTTGTTTGTCTTATTTATTTATTTTGCAAAAACGAATCACACTGTGTGACTAAAAGTTTGTCCCTCTTCTTCCTCTCCGACACACATACACTCACATTTTGCACAAATTTACTCTAAAACACAATGACTGACACAGATCACCACAAACTGTGGCATCCATCCACAACAGGGTACACGCTGTGTCTTCAGGCCCTGCTTGAGACTCAGCTCAGTGGAAGTATCAGACTGATGTGTTAGAGCAAACAGGTATGCATGCTAGACAGTGACGAGAGGAAAGAAGAGGACAATGAGAGAGAGCGACTGAAGAGTCTTTCTGGTGTGATCAAGATTGGCCCTGTCCCAAACGGTGCCCTTGCGATCCTCCTCCTTGCGAGTCCATGCTGCATAGTGCATAGTGGCTGCAAAGGGGATGCTCGGGAAGGTTTGGAAACCTAAAACGACAAACTGTACACCATACCAACAAAAGTCACAAGACTCTTCACAATAAGTGCGCCATTGGAGACAGGGCCTTGCTTTATCTGACCTAGCCTTGCCAATTAGCTGTGGTTAGACTAGATTATAGTAATACTCTGCTAAAAAACAAAAATAAGTCAAAGGTGGTTTGATGGTCTCTTAGTCTGACAGTCTGGGCCCTTGGCTGGTTTTAGAAGGCTATCTGAATACCACCCCACCACTAGTCAGAATTGGAGATCTATAAACCACAGATTTAACGTTAGCATCTTTCATAATGTTAAGCAAAGTCAGTGTAAATTGGAGGTTTATTTCGGTATGTTGATATACTGAATAAACTGAAACTAAGTATAGAGTAGGGCGTGTAGCTTTCTTTTTTGCGCATCATTGACTTCTAGCAAACTAACTATAAGAAGTTAAGAAGTTGAAGACATCAAACATAAACAGAGAAGAACAGCAGTCCAAATCTGGATTTGATTTAAGATGAACAATTTAGTTACCAAACATTCATTTGATAACCTTAATTATTCATCTAAATGTTAACAAAATGTGCTAGGACATGAAAAAGTTCATTTTGATTTCACACAGACTTAAAGGTTAAGGACTCCCTGGAGTATTTTTTTAAATTATTTTAACAGATTTGTGTGTGTTGAGCATCAGTAAATACAACATTTGCACCTGTCAGCTTTAATGGTGGGGAAAACTGGATAATTTTGAGCTTTTGTCAGCTAATTTCATCTTCTGGGTTTAAAATAATTTTGGGGCGGGATCTAAAACGGTAATGTAAAGCAAATCTGCTAGTGGAGTAATGACGCATCGGTTCCTTATTATTATTCTTAGAGAAATTTTCTTATCCTATGAGAAGACCCTGCTTTTTAATTATTCATGAGAGCATGTGTTTTCCGAAGGCAAGGCAGACCTGCCAAGCTGTGGGGTTGTATGTGTTTGTTTCCATGATTCATGAGTTTGTTGGATGTTTTTCACCGTGATTCTGTCAGGCCCGATACAGCAAAGCTGTAGCATTTTTTGTCAGAAGAGCTGTACGAAAATTGAAGAATGGCTGACTGTGTCTTTTATCAGTTGAGTTCATTACCATTCAGACACATCGCCAATATGCACGCTGCTGTCTTCACCTCTGTTCAAAATCATCAGATAATAGTTGAAACAGACAGGGAAAGAGACCTACTGCTCTGCTACCACTGTCTGCATTCAGACCCGGGGATTGAAGGGGAGAGAAGTCATCCTCTTTTATAGTGTTTAGGAACACGATTATTTTTATGATGATATAACAAATTGTTGTCATGTGTATATGAAATTATTAATAACAAATATAGCAGGACATTAAATTACTTACTGTTTATTTCTTTGCATTTTAACTTTGTAAACTATAAAATCATGGGTCTTCTCATGGTTAGTGTCTCTTTTTGTGAGCCGATTGACAGTTGTTCGCTCCCCTCTTTTTCCCCTCCTTTGCTGGCCACGCCTACTCCTCCCTCTGCTCACAGAGCTCCATGCCCATCACGAAGCATTTTTTTTAAATCCTGAGGCAAACTTAAACTGAAAAGGGGAGGTTTCATGGCCCTTTAAAGAGATTATGACTTCTATTGGTCACACATCTTCATGTGATACGAATTTGCAGGGCACCATATTTGAACAATGGAATGCAATGACTTTCAGACATTGTATTTCCTGTCTCCTACATTTACCAAGTTAAAAGAATGCACAGAGTAGTGATATGATTGCCCCTAATTCAAACACACCTGAACTAGCTAAGGAACATCTTCTGAAGTTGCAGTAAGACTTAACTTAAGATCCTTGAGTTAGACCAGCTGAATACCAACCTAGCCAGGCTAATGGACCATCTTAAACCAGCATTTTAACCATTGATTTGTATATATATATATATATATATATATATATATATATATATATATATATATATATATATATATATATATATATATATAGCAGGGATTGGACTTAATTGAATTTACCCAACTATTGCCTGTATATAGGTACACTAAATCTTCAGACTTTGACAGATAAATATTTCTTTTAGACTATCCAACAAACTGGGCATGTGCTGCTGTAAAAGGGGTGTGGTCTCACCTGGGATACTGTTATGCTGCACTTCTTAGCCAGCTCCTCTTTGGCCTCTTCGCTGGGATAAGGGTTACTAAGATGCGAGTAAAAATACTCATTCAGGATCTCGGTCGCCTGCTTGCTGAAGTTCCGCCGTTTCCGTCTGCCGTTGGACAAGTTGGAGAGGGAAACAAGAGGAGGAAGGCAATTAGAGACTCAAATAAAACCTTGTGAGATGGCCAAACTCATAATGAAGCTGCTGGCAGGAAATGAAGTCGGGAAGGCTATTATCGGAATACATATGTAGACGCGCAAATGGACATTGTTACGTTATCAGTTGAGCTTTAAGCGAAGCGTGAAATGTTCAGTGTTTAGAGCGACAAGCGTTCCCTCTCTCTCTCTTGTGCTTTCATTCTGATGGGGGCGTTTAGAGGTGCTCAAGCATTCCCAGTCAGAGCTGTATCTTGGGACATTAGGGAAATCAAGCCATGGCCAGCTGAACACTGTTCCTCAAGTACTGGGGCAGGGCCTGATGGAGTTGCACTTACCGCCACTCACTGCAGCAGCCCACCCCACCGCGGTTAAGCGCTGGCTTCTTTCTCTCGCCTTGTTTAATGCCTTTCACACGAGTGGCCGGCCAAACGATTGTGCTTCCGCTTCACTTGAGTGTTCTCCTCGAGACCTCATCCACTCTTTTCTCTTGTTCACTGCATCATTTCTCTCCCCTGTACGCCTCTCCAGATCTCCTCTACCAACTGTTTGTGATTACAGTAATCTGGACCACCTGCTGATGACCTCCTACCCACCAAACGCAAATGACTTCATTTCCACTCTATAAAACTCTTAACTGCTTTCAGGTGCTTAGCATGACTGTGTTCGGTGGATGGCCTCTAAGCTCTAAAACCCTTGTCTTGGCAACACCCCATCTTAACCGCTAGTGGTTGAATAATGCTGAATACATTATTGCTCATGGCTTATAACAGGTGCCGTTCCATCAGTGGGATTGCCTTAACCCTGGGTATGTAGGTTAAAAGTTCATACTTCAAGAAACAATTCAAGAAACAAAGTACCAAGACTTTCTGTGTTTCTATAAATGCAATTATGAGTTGTCATTTTGAATAACATATATCTGCAGATGATAAGTAGAAGATATATTCTTTCAAACACAAGTGAGAATAATTTGTACATGCACATTCTAAAAAAAATCAAATAAAATTGAGGACACCAACCTGGCGTCAAGGAAGCGGGACCTCAAGATCATGACAGCCTCACAGGTGCTCTGTTTAAGCTGCATTTGGATGGAGCTGAATTTGCGATGAATGATGCTGACCATGCGTTCAATCTCTTTGGGCGAGATGGGCCGTGTGCGAGACTGTTCCCTCAACAGGTTCATTACGTGGGTAGTGAACTCATTACATGCCTGTGGAGAAAGACAAGTTTGAGTTTAAGACTGCAGCGTTAATTCCGACTGAGGATGTAGGTGTAAAAAATCAAATCATTCCAAAGTCTTTAGGACCCACTACCGAGACTCAGCAGCTACGTGCAATAAATAATTTCTGAATCTACAATTCATCATATCTTCACTTAAACCCCCCAAAAAAACTTCCTAGAGATCGACCCTCCTTTTAAAATCGCTATATAGTCTCGACTCAGAAATGACAGAAATGCTCTTTGACGTTATTCCGCAGAAGAAGCACATCAGTTCAACTGCATTCGTTTGAAGCTCTCCGGAGCAGCAATCAGCAATATTTGAAGCAAGTTCAAAGCTGCTGCTCTTGAAAGCTGGGAAAAAACACCATCCATATACTGTTTGTAGTGCTGCTGAGCACTTGAACGGCTTAATAGGTGAAGTCATCTATGAATGCAAATGCCGATTTGCAATTTGGCACCTGCCCAGCGCCCGTAGAATTTAAACAGCTTTTCGTTAAAGCAGTGGTTCATACATGATTAATTAGAATAACTCATTTAGGTAGTGCTCACTTTAGCTCATTACTCGGAGTAAAATTTGTTAAGTATTTACATTTAGATAATTAAAAACGGGGAACACCCTTAAGAAAGATGCATTTACTCCGGGTGAAGGGTTGAGCCACCTTTTCCGCATGCTTTCTTTTTAAACGCTTGCAAGTAATCAGGCTAATTTAGCCCATTCTCTGGCAAAGCCATTAGCTAAACAACTTCCATATCATAATAAAAGGATTATTATTTACAAATAAAAGTGCTCCACAGAACATTCTTGATTGTTTACGGTGTAAGTGCACTCTACAGCAGGTCAATGACATAAGAGTGACCGTGAATCAAGACAAGGAAAAGCATTACAAAATTGTTCACACTTTAAAATAAGCTTACACTGGTTATTGTACAGTAAGTTAATATATATGAACCCAGACTACTTGTACAGCATTTATTTATTATAGTCCAACAGTTACTAGTGCATTATTTTAATCAAAAGTTGTGTAACATTAGATAACTTACTTTGAGATGAGAACAACATTGAACAGCTTTATTTTCTTTAACGCTTGAAAAGATTAATAAATACTGTGACATACTTATTGTTCATTGTTTGATCATGATAGTAAATACATTGACATACTGTCTGTTAAACAAAACATGCATCTTACTAAATGTAAATCGATATTGTTTAAAGTAAATAAGTAAACAGTGATATTTTGTGGCATAAACTCTAACCATTATCAAGTAGTTAGCCAAAGCTTCATATATACAGTGCATCGAAATGTATTCATAGCGTTTCAATTTTTCCACATTTTTTTATGTTATAGCCTTATTCCACAATGAATTAAATGAATTTATTTCCTCAAAATTTTACACACAACACCCCATAATGACAATGTAATTTTTTTTTTTTTAAATTGTTGCTAATTTAAAAAAAAATAAATAAATAAAATAAAAAATCACATGCACATAGGTATTTACAGCCTTTGCTCAGTACTTTGTTGATGCATCTTTGGCAGCAATTACAGCCTTAAATCTTTTTTATATGATGCCACAAGCTTGGCACACCTGTCTTTGGGTATTTTTGCCCATTCCACTATGCAGTACCTCTCAAGCTCTATCAGGTGGGATGGGAAGTGACGGTGTACAGCCATATTCAGTATGATTTAGTCTGGGCTCTGGCTGGGCCACTCAAAAACATTCACCGAGTTGTTGTGAAGCCACTCCATTGATATTTTGGTGGTGTGCTTTGGGTAATTGTCCTGCTGAAAGACCTCGCCCCAGTCTGAGGTCAAGAGCACTCTGAAACAGGTTTTCATTCAGGATGTCTCTGTACATTGCTGCATTCACCGTTCCCTCAATCCTGACTATTCATCCAGTTTCTGCTACTGAAAAACATCCTCACTGCATGAGAGGGAGTGGCTTCTATCTGGCCACTCTATCATACAGGCCTGATTGGTGGATTGCTGCACAGATGGTTGTCCTTCTGTAAGGTTTCCTCTCTCTACAGAAGAACGCTGGAGCTGAGACAGAGTGACCATAGGGTTATTGATCAACTCCCTGACAAAGGCCCTTCTCCCACGATCACACAGCTTAGTGATCTCTTGTGCCCCCCTGACAATCCTGTTTCAGAGGTCTACAGACAATTCCTTTGTCTTCATGCTTGGTCTTTGCTTTTACATGCACTGTTAACCCTGGGACATTATTTAGTCAAGCGTATGCCTTTTCAAATCATGTCCAATCAACTGAATTTACCACAGGTGAACTTCAATTAAGCTGCTGAAACATCTCAAGAATGATCAGTGGAAACAGAATGTACCTGAGCTCAATTTAGAGCTTTACAGCAAATGCTGTGAACCCTTATGTACATTTGGTTTTTCAGGTTTTTTATTTTTAATAAAAGTTGCAACAATTTCAAAAAAAAAAAAATTTCACATCGTTATTATGGGGTTTTGTGTGTAAACTTTTGAGGAAATAAATTCATTTGATCCATTTTGGAATAAGGCTGTAACAAAAAATTAAAAATGTGGAAAAAATTGAAGCGCTTTATTAATATTTTTTCTCAAAATACAACATCATACATATATGCTGTTTGCATATTATTTACCACAGTTAGTGCTAAATACAGTGTCATCCCACATTAGCCTTTAATATATTTATAAGAAATTGAAAAAAAATAACAATCTTCAAGGCATGCCAATGCTTCTCCAGTGCTCCTAAAAAAACCTTACAACCTAACTGAGAGTGTTATCTAATGGAACCTTACTGTAAAGTGTTATCAATTGAGTTTTTAGAAATGAACTTAATGTATTTGCTTTACGTTTATTTATTTTTTATCCTAAGGATTTCCTCAAAACCCCCACCACTTTAACTACACCTGGGAAAACAAAAATGATGGAAAGGCCCTCGTTCAACTCGTCCTTGATTATGGGGAAAATAACTAAAGCGCTGAATCAAAAATTAATGTCAGCTCCATTAAAGAATCAATACATGACCTCAATGAAGCAGCGCATCCTGCATAGCCACACTCTCAAATGTACTACGCAATCAGAGGCTGCTCTCCACACTGTAACTAAAAGCGTCTGCTCAATATTTATAAGAGGATGTCTAGACTACCGCTGTACAGGGGTCAGGTAAGTTGAAGATGTCCTAATGCCTGAATACCACCATAAATCACATCTGCTCTCAGTCGTAATCATGATAGACAGGACTGTAAAATGCAAAATGCTTGCTCAGGTTTAGACCTCTGACACCTTCAGTTCAGACGAAGGCCTCCAGGTCTCCCTTTAAACCTGTCACGAAGCGCCAGTGAAAAAATATCTATTCAGACAGAACAGCAAGCTGGGATTATTCACGCTTATGGGATCGATGCAAATGTGTGGATGCAGATGCAAAGCTCTTTTGTAGTATTCTTGGCTCTGCACCATACAATTATGCTACGCTTTGTAACATTACTACTGTAGATTTTCGTTTTCAAAGCTGGAAAAGGATTTAGGGCCTTTTTCTTCATAATTAAATGCAACATCATTTGCTTTTGCCTAAAATTAACCTAGTACTGTCATCATAATCAGAACAAAAATAAAATCTGTTTGCAGGAAGAAAGAAAGAAAGAAAAGATCACAATATTGCACAGAACTACTGAAGTGGCACTAGTGTAACCGGTTAGATTTTCAATTATAAATGTTCTACACTGTAAAGAAATTGAAGTAATTTTAATAAGTTAATCAGGTTTCAAGTAAGTTATGCAAAGTCTAACTCATTATTGTTTTATTAGTTAGTTAGTTAGTTAGTTAGTTAGTTAGTTAGTTAGTTAGTTAGTTAGTTAGTTAGTTAGTTAGTTAGTTAGTTAGTTTGATTGCAATAAGTTGAGATGACTTAAAAGGTTAATTAGATTTAACTTAAAAAAGGCAGCAAGACTTTTTTTTGGGGATAAATAGGTGCACCATTCAGTGGTTCCCAAAGTGGGGGCTCGCAGGACAATGACAGGGGGCCGCTTGGTGATTTCCAAAAGTCAAATAAATTTAAAACATAAAAAAATAGTAGTTAATAGTAACATAAAAAGCATTAACATATGAGCTTTGCAATATTTTTTGTTTGATTGTGTGTTTACGTTAGATTAACAGCATAGCAATACCGTCATCTGCAGCAGATTGATTTTATAGCAACAGGTTAAACTTTCTGACACCTTTATGGCAATCAAATACACTGAAATAAATATAGGCCACAACTGAGCATTGATCTCTGAGTCTCCAAAATTAAACCAAGAATAGAAACCAAGTGCTAAAAACATTGTGCCCACCAGTCTCATTAGGCGAGGTTAATATTTTTCATTCATTTTCTTTTCGGCTTAGTCTCTTACTTAATTAGGGGTCGCCATAGCAGAATGAACCGCCAACTTATCCAGCATATGTTTTACGCAGCGGATGCCCTTCCAGCTGCAACCCAACACTGGGAAACACCCATACATACTCTTTCACACACATACACAACGGCCAATTTAGCTTATTCAATTCCTCTATAGCGCATGTCTTTGGACTGTGGAGGAAACCGGAAACAGGATCACCAAGAGGAAACTCACGCGAACACAAGGAGAACATGCAAACTTCACACAGAACTGCCATCTGACCCAGCTGGGGCTCGAACCAGTGACCTTCTTGCTTTGAGGCGATCGTGCCACCCACTGCACCACCAACCCACTGACACCAGGTTAATAAAATTAACTAATGACTATATAAAAGATAGTCTATGGTTGTTAGACTGTTGCACTTTTTGTGTTGTTAATATTAATGTGGGAGTCATGAGTCACTGGCATTGTTATTTTGGGGGTCGTTCACTGAAAAGTTTGGGAACTCCTGGACTAAGTAAAATTTTAAAAAATGCTTAAAGTGTTCGACCCAAAACACCCGCAGCCAATCAGTAGTAAGTGGTGCATCTAGTAATGATAACAGAGATTTCAAAAAAGGGGCAATGCCTTAAGATGAAAGATAAATTGGCGTGTTTGGTGTTTTTAAATATCAAAATTTGCTTGGTGAACCTGTAATATATAGTTTGAAGGGTCATATGTGTAGGTTCAGTAAGTTCACTTTTATGGCACAGGGTAAGTTCTTCTCATGGTCTTTAAAGTGAAATAACTCAACATGAACACAGGGGGCTGAGAAAAAATGTCATTTCCTATGGAAATCTTAAACTATACAAGTAAAAAAACATATATAATTTTTAATAAAATGAACTAGTAAAAACATATTTGATTTCAGCTAGTGGCCAAAGAATTTTCATTCAGTTTAAAATGAAAAAAAAACGTAAATAAAAATGAATAATAGTGTATACAAACACACAGCAAAAAAATATATAATACAACCTTTTCTACAATTAAAATGAAATCCAAATCTAATATATTCTGAACTGAAGTGATAAAAATCCACCACAATAACTATTCAGAGATACTAAAACAACATTGGTTTTGGGTTAAATGTATGGGGAAGAAAGCGCAGAGGAGTTCAGTATGACAGTATTTGTTGTAAGCTGTTAAGGCCTTACTGGACTGTAGTGTATATTGTCAATCACCTGCTCGTATTTCTCCAACTCGGTGTGGTAGATCTGTCTGATCTGGGAGAGTTTGGCCCTGTAGTCGGAGTGCTCGATGGAGTTGTCAGTGGGACTGCCAGCCGCTGCTGCTGCAGCCGCCGCCGCCGCTGATCCTCCACCCTTCTCTGGTCCGGCTACACCCTCCGCCAGCAGCATGTTGTCCAGACGCATCAGCTGTGGATCTGGTGGATCCTCCTCCTGAGCCCCGCGGATACTTAGACCTGATCAACAAAAAAAACAAGAGATGCTCAGTGACATGATGAGGCTTTTTATATTCTTACACAGTTTCAAGAAGATGTTTGAAGCAGATTTACCTGTGAAACATAACAAATCTTCAACTTTTTTTGTATTTTAGAGAAGTATAATGGACATAGATTTGTTTGGAAGACTGTGAAAGTAAGTCATTTTGACTATTTGTCTCACATAATTTGACTTTTTCTTTGTAGATTCCAATTGAGCAATTCCAATTGAACATCTCACAATCGAATCGTGATGTTATGCCTCACACGAAAAAATAAAATAAAATAAATCTTGCAATTTAGAGTTTATAACTGAAATTTTAAGTTACTAAAACCTAGAAACTATTTTTTGTCAGATTTACCCAGCAAAATTATCTTGTTTTTCCCCTTTGGCAGATTATTTTGCTAGTTTTAGGGAAAAACTCACTTTATTTCGACCTCTGATGATGATAATAATATTAATAATAATAATAATAATAATAATAATAATAATAATAATAATAATAATTATTATTATTATTATTATTATTATTATTATTATTATTATAACAATTATAACAACAACAACTATAATAATAACAATAATAATAATAATAATTTATGTGTAATGTGCTTTTCTTCGACTACAAGACAAAATACTAACAATACAAGGCAAAATAGCAGAAACAGCACAACAATAAAAGAAAAGAAAAATGCAACAAAACAATAAAAATAAGAACCATAAGATAGAATAAAAAAGTTAACAAAATGGTCATCCTAAGTTAAAAGCAATGTTAAAAAGGTGAGTCTTAAGATGTTTCTTAAAACAGTCCAGAGAAGTGGCATTCCTAATGCTGATGGGTAGTGCATTCCACAGCTTACACTGTATGAGAAAGCCCTACCACTCATGGTCTTGAGTTTACAGCGTAGCTGATACAGGGTAAGTCCCGATGAGAAACGAAGACTGTAAACTGTAAGACTTTAACCTAATATTTCTTAAAACTAGACAATGTTTTTTGCCTGTCTAGAAAATGCTTCTTGATTTAAGACTTTTTAGATATTTGGATTAAAAGAGACAAGACAAAAAATCTACAGTAAGTGAGAAAAGCATATATTGCTGTGTTCCAGCATTGAGATTAAAGCAACAAGTTATTGACACTTTAATAAATAAATACAAATTCTGCATGAGCCACTGCCCTCAGGAATCGTAAACAATACAAGAATGAATTAATTTTTGACAAATGATTGAATTTGCTATCGGTTTTAAACACAGACACACCATCACACAAGCAGCGAGACTCTGCAATCGAGTCTGCCAGCAAATACCACAATCTGTCACAACAGGCCAAAATACCTCCAGATTGTATTCAAGTAAAACAAAAAAATATGTGGTCCACTTCCGGCCCATCGCTATGCTTGAGTTCAAGTGAGACGGATCAGGGCGCTGGAGGTATTGAGAGAGAGCTGAAAAGGCCCGTAGGTACGAATTTGTTTTTCCTCTGTTTTGCAGCGCTGCCGTCTCGAATTTTCACAGCACACTGCACACACTGTTTGTGTACTCACAGCCATACATGACAGGGACACTCGCCGACTGACACACACTCGACGGCGTGATGGCACCTCTCCACGCTGAGGCGATGCTAAACAGAAAGACGCGCGTCTACACGTGTCTGAACGCGCTCGCCTGCTGCTCCCAAATCACGAGTGCCGCGTAATAACCAGCAGAAAAAGTGTTCTCACAAGTGCCGTTATGTTTCGTTGCTAACAAACTGTTTTATTACACATCCCGGGTTCTGCTCTGTGCAGAGGATGGGCTGCTTGAAATGTATGTAAATTTGCATAGCAATCGATATGAGGGTGAAAGATAGCTCATTGTGTTTGCCTGATATTCATAATGAACCTCGGAGCAGTAAAGAGCCATTAAGATTGATTACAAACTTCCTCATCACGCTTGCCTCTCTTTCTCTCTTTCTGTGTTTGCATAATGAACACCATTCATACTGGAGAATAATGAAGCAGAAAAAAAGTTCTTTTGGTGAAAGATTTTAATCAAATGTTTTCATCTTAACATGTATTTGGAATGGAGTTTAAGTTTAAGGAGTAAGAGGGTTGTGTTTTATTTTCTGTGTTAATGGAAGATGTCTCAAATTTGTAGAAGTAGAAGTTGTTGTCTAAAATAATCAATGGTCTTTGTATTTAAAGCAGCAAAAATTATATATGTATATATATATATATATATATATATATATATATATATATATATATATATATATATATTACAACTATTAAGATTACAAATGTGTTAAAGAAATCTCTCTGTTAAACAAAAATTGAGTTAAAAATAAACAGGAGGGCTAATAATTCAGGGGGGCTAATAATTCTGAATTCTTCCATTTATTTTCTTTTTGGCTTAGTCCCTTTATTAGTCTTGGGTCACCACAGCCGAATGAACCATCAACTTATCCAGCTTATGTTTTATGCAGCGAATGCCCTATTAGCTGCAACCCATTACAGGGTAATATCCATACACTCTCATTCACACACATACACTAAAGACAATTTAGCCTACTCAATTCACCTATAACGCATATCTTTGGATTTGTGGAGCTAACCAGAGCACCTGGAGACCATGTGAACATGGGGAGAACAAGCAAAAGCCACACAGAAATGCCAACTGACCCAGCTTAGGCTCGGACCAGCGACCTTCTTGCTGTGAAGTATATATTTATATATTTTCTTTTCTTTGTCTTTTTAAAAATAAAAGTATCTATACTTATACATACTATACAGGGATATATACACCAATATGGAAAATTATGATAAATAAAATAAATAAAATAACATTTAAATAAATAAATAAACAATTGAAGAAACGGAACTAACAAATAAACGAAAAAACTAACAAACAAACAATTACATACATACATACATACATATATACATACATACAGTACATACATACAGATTTGCTTGAATATAATAAATTTAATACATAAAATAATAATTGAAGAACTGGGTCAAGTGCTTCCGCTGAACTGTTCTTGTGCTGTTACAAAATTGGCACATTTAGGGTCTGTAATTTTTTTAAATCAGTGATCTTCACTGCCTGGTTGATATACGATATAAAGTGGGTCACACATTGTACAAGAAGCACTACATTAAAGTAGGAAATTACATTTCCCCCTCGCCATGTTTTTAAAATATAAACATTTATTTTATCCCAGTATATTCAATAGAGTTTTTGCGCTAACATCCTAATTCTGATGGGCATGTGCGTAAATAGCTTTTCATCTCATTTTACACTTGCACAACTAAATGAATGATGAAATCTATTTAACTGATGGTATTTTAATTACAGTACAACATCAATGCAGTGAAAGAAGCCTTATAAAATTACAAATTAAACATAAAACATTAACCTTTTACCGGAGGTTTATCAGTATGGGAAGAAACACTAGCTGTACTTACATCCTAATGTATTTAAAATAAATATTTAATTTAAAACCTATTAAATCATGATTTTTTTTTCAAAGCCTGACTGCAGAAAAAACCCCGCAAACAATAGTTTTCAACTGGTGTGTACATGCTGGACACTTACTACTGATTACAGAACCGGCTTTACTGACAAAATGTGTAAACAATTACTTTCATGCAGAGCAAACCAATATTGCATAACTTACTGGCCAATCATTTTTTCAGCTATTTTTATTTATTAGTCCACCAAAGTATACATTGGTTTTTTTATTTTTTGCACTTGTGATTTTAATTGTTCGTCCACAAAGTGTCAGCACTGAACCAAAATGTCTCCTTAACAGTCAGAGAATAAACAAAAGAGAAGAACAACAAACTACTGAAGAAGCCAAGAAGTCCACATTACTGAGCACATCTGTGAGGGGATTACAAGATACTGACAACTCTGCTACAAATCAATACAAAGACCTTTTTTATTGCTTATGTAGATTTCAAATAGAAAAAAAAGCATGGACACTGAAAGAGGACTAATATTTCTAGAGTGCTTGTGTTTAGCGCCTGTGTTCGAACAGATATACATTCGTCTGTGCATACAAATACACAATATTCCTGACTTAAGAGATCTATCAGTGAATCATAACTATTTCTCATTTAGCAAATAGGTTTGGGCACTGGCTTGACATGAGAGCTCCAGCTTTAAAAGCCAGACATAAAATAAAAACAAAAACCTCAATAAAAAAAACAAGCTGAGATTAGAATACTATTATTTAGTTAACACAAAGGAGGGGAAAAATCATCATGGGTGCACAAAGAAATGCCTTGGACTAAGTGGAGCGTGCATATGGTGTGGTTGGTCTGGGTATTTTGGATGGTTTAAGTAGTGGGTGATTTGGGGGTTCTGAGAGTTTCTAAGAGCTTCATTACAGGCTTCATTAAGATACTGTGAGATGCTGAATCCTAAATGAGCAGATTACTGACTTTATTATTGCACTGTGGAAGCCTGGCAACCAGCTAAGCCTCTTTGTGTATTTGACAGAGACAGAAAGACACACATGTACACACACTCACACATTACACAAAAAAACACAGAAGTATACAGGTATTGTATGTTTCATGGGAAAACATTTTTTGTTATTTGTTGACAAAAATAGATTATATTATAGGTACTTTAATGACAGACAATGTGTATGGACATATTATATAGTTAAAAAAGGGGGCAGTAGGACATTTTTAAAGATGTCTTAAGCTCACCAAAGCTATATTTATTTGATTAAAATGCAAAAAGCAATTGTGTTAAATATTAAATGCTTTATTATGATTGCATATGCTGCATTTTTAAGATCGCCAGTCATCAGCGTAACGTTAACCTCCAAAAATTAATGTAACATGATGATTACTGCTAATTTAATAAATAAATAAATAAATGTGATATATATATATATATATATATATATATATATATATATATATATATATATATATATATATATATATATATATATATATATATATATATAATAAAATAAAACAAA